CTCTAACCTGAACAGAGGAAGAAACAGGGCAATAGAAAGAAGAGGAAAAGTAAAAGAAATTCAGAGATAGTTATGGTTAGTGTACCCAGTAGCCATCTCTCTACTACAGCCACTTATCTACCATTCAGCATTTTGCAGGCAAACGATGACTGACTTTTGTGCAGAAATCAAAAGGAGGATAATGTAGTGGTGACTTTAAAGGGAGGAGCTTTTGTAGTAATGTGGGGGAAAGCACAAAGAAAAATAAGAAAAAAGAAAAATTAACAGCAGTGCAACAATGAGTAGAATCACTGGCATAAAGAAGGGGAGGATTAAACCATGAAAAGCTTTAGAAATAACAATGAAAAGTATTAAAACTTAAACGCAAATGTTTGATATAGTGGGGAAAAAAGCAGTCCTGGTAAGAGTCAGCAAAATCATGGTGCTATACTAAAAACAAGCTAGCAAGGGAATTCTTTCAGCAGCACTGCAAACATACTTGAAACCTGGGGATCAGCAGAAATGTTTGTTGTACTAACATTGCAACTGCCAAACAAGGACCTCTGGGCTGAACACAACTGTTCATTTACTGGGTCAAACCATAGACTTGTCTTGCCCAGTTGACTCTGTCACAGCCCAGTGTACTCTACTTAGTACCCCTCTTCAGTACACTACTTATCATTTGTCCCCGTAAATCAGTTGCCACTTGCCTGGTAGCCTCCCTTTCTGAGGATGGCTTTTAGTTTTACATGGGCACTGGCCCACAGTCCCTCAAAGTGGCAAACAGGCCTGTCTCTCACAGTCTGGTACGCTCTGCTTGGCATCCCCCCTCAACACACTGGTTTTTATCCTATAAACTTTACTGCTGTTCCTCTTCTTTTATTTGTCCCATGAGTTCAACTGACATATATCCAATAACTCCCTCTATTAACAGGGGGGACTAACTTTTGCTGTGGGCTAAAGGCCCTGTGCGTCAAACAAGCTTGTGCCACACAGCCCTGCATACTCTGCTCAGTGTCCCTCCCCCCTTGGGACACTTGTTTTCAACCTATGACCTCACTCCTGCTCCTGTTTTCTCTTTAGATCTCCTCCCAAATCAACTGGTGTATAACCAATAGTTCTCCCTGCTCCCATATCCTACCCTGGGGGGTCTTCAAAAGGAGGCTGGATAATCACCTAGCCGGGGTCATTTGACCCCAGCATTCTTTCCTGCCCACGTCAGGGGGTCGGACTTGATGATCTACTTAGGTCTCTTCCGACCCTACCAACTATGAAACTATAACAGGGCAGAAGCCAATGACAATGCGTAGGGGGTACATAGAGGTGCATATGCACCTCCTAAGAGCACTGGTGCACCCCTTGACAGCCAGCGAGGGGGGCCCCTGACAGCAAGCATTCCCTTCTTAGGTGACAGGCAGGAGCACTTGCGCCCTCCCTGACAGCACCAGCTGGGGAGTAGGTGTGCCAGGAGAAGCGTGGCTGGCACTTCTGGTTGCTGACTGGCCACTGAGGAGCAAGCGTCCCCCCTGACTCAGGAGGCACCAATCGCCCATGATGGAGGATAACTGTTACACCACTGGCATCAGGCCTGTGTTAACCCTATGTGTCAAACAGGCCTATGTCACACAGCAGCAGACAGGAAGAACGAACTGGCTACGACCAGGGTTTCTTCCCTCCACTGTACTTCTTTCACTTACAGCCTCCAGTACTTACGCATTTATACATGTGCTCTGGGAGTGGTGGGGGGGGGGGGGCACTTTAATTACAGCGCTCTAATTAAAGTGCCCAGAACGTCATGCGCACCAGTACTGCTGCAATAAAAAATGGCAGCAGGGGAGCTTAAATGAGCTTTAGTTGAAGCACCCCTGCCAACGTTTTTCAGCGCAGGGACGTTGATACACGCGATGCGGGAGCTTGCTGCATCGCGGTAATTACCACGCTCCAGTAGACTCGCTAAATTGGCCATCGCGTGACCGAGGCGATTAATCGAGCCTGCTCTGACGTGCTGTTGCTACAGCCTCAGTTCTGCTTGTGTAGAGGCGCCCTTAAGGTGCAGGAAGCTCTAACTCAGAAGCTGTACCCTGGCTCCCATTTTGCACAGGCCACGTGTCCAACAGCAGCTTAGACGGGACACTTTGCCAGCCTTTCTGCCCAGGTCCCCATCGTTGCAACCTGGTAGGGCTGGAAGCTCAGCGGGCACCGTCCACGAGGGCAGGTGCCGGGCTGTGGCCCGCGGGCCGGGGGGGAGGGCGCGAGCAGCAACCCCACAGGAAAAGGGGGTGGGGAGAGGGGGTGCCCGGCACGGCGCTCACCGCACGGTCCGGATGACGAAGTAGACAATGAGGGCGGCGCTGGCCAGCACGAGCACGGACAGGGCGCGCTGCGTCATAGGCGGGGTCTGCGGGGCCGGCGCCGACACGGCG